CAAAAAACACAACACACACACACACACACACACACACACACACACACACACACACACACACATATATATATATATATATATATATATATATATATATATAAAGAAATAAGCATACATGGAATCAATCAGCAATATTAATGCGATTAATGGCGAAATCACTTCGCTAGTAGAACATAATGTATCTATTAAAATACTGTTAATCTATTGAATGATGTAATCCTCATTTATAAAACTGTTGTCAGATGTTTCTAGTGTATATTTTTTAAAGTTAAGCAAGTACTTTCGAAGATCTATGTCTCCATCATCAGGCTGTGATATTTTTCCTTTAAAATTAAAACTTGAAGACGAAATAATTGTTTGTAGACCGAAAGATATTTTTTTAAAGAATGTGCTATTTATTGACGGTTGTACAATCTCGGAACGTGCGAGTCGCAACGTTAAAGTTCCAAATTTCAAGTGAGTATTTTTATAAGAATTTTGTAATATGGTAAATCCACGAATTCTTTTTTTTACAAGTGTTTTTCAGTTAATATGACATGAACTAAGTATATAGTTCAATTAATATAGTGATACATACAAACATATATATACTAACCCAATTCAGTTTCATTTTATCAGGTTTTCTGACAAGATGTTTAGACATCTTAACACCAAGGAAACAGGATCGGGGGTCACACAAGGAGAGGAAACATCATTTCACCCAGACGTAAATACATTATTATTGTTGAAAGTAGAGTCCAATAGTGTTATAAAAAACTTAGAGAATTCCAGTAAGATATGTTTAATCATTTCTAAGTAACAACGTTTCAACGCTTAGTCTAAAAATTGGACTATTTCGATGTTACACTTGGTATATATATATATATATATATATATATATATATATATATATATATATATCCCTTTCTTTTCTTTCTCGTGTCTTCTTTTTTGTCTTCTTTTTTTATTTTTCTTTATTTTTTCTTTTTTCATCTTTCTTCTTTTTTCTCTTTTTAACCTTGTTTTGTTTTATTCCCGTATAACTCTCTGGAGGAATTGATTTTATTTCTCAAAAATATTCAGTCTATAGAGATGAATATAACAATATTCATGAAATAAATTATAACCGATATGAATTTTTAAGGTGTTTTCTTAATTTATCATTATATATTGCTCTGTAACTTACATACAGCTCTCATTGGATGAATGTCCTCCTTGGAATAATCCCTACCAATTACAAAATCGTATATATATATATATATATATATATATATATATATATATATATATATATGTGTGTGTGTGTGTGTGTGTGTGTGTGTGTGTGTGTAAGTCGAGAATCTGTGCAACTCATTTCTCCACCGTTCTAACTATCAGAGCTTAATTCGCATATATCATTCGATACGTCCAAAACAAAATTAGTAACATTTAAGTACCAGTGGGCAGACACTAAACCTACACTAATCCTTGCCATGAACGCTCACTGAGACTAAAGCTCTCTGTTGACCTCAGATGCATTGCGTCTGTCCGTCCCTTGACAAAAGATGTCGGAATTGTCAGTTCCTTGCATTGCCCCAGAAAATGCCTAAACCTTGCAACCATCCTCTATCTCTACAGATCAGAACAAAAATAAAGTGTTGCTAGTATATCTGGTTTGCGATTGCCTAGTCCTCAATGCCCAGCCTGGACAGTGTTTAAAAGTTATTACGCAGAATTGTGGCCGATGAATTATCCTCAAGCTCACAGCTTTTATGCTACAAACGAAACGTTTCTAGCCTGTAGTTATTCTATCATTCTTTCCGTTTCAGATGTTATCTTTAAGAAGACACTAGCATTTTTAAAACGACAGAATGCGTGACAGTAAATCACGTCAGTACTCACGGACGTAATGTTCGAAATATTTTCGCGCCTTTCTTTTGATGGAAAACATTTTATCCGAATTCTTTAAAAGTAATTACATATATATATTTATTAAAGACATTTTTATGTTTAACGTTCTTTTTTATAGATACAAGTATTTAAGTAAATGCTCTGTTTATAATAAACAGTATTAAATAACATTTACCGCCCTGAATGTCGAGAAATTTTCATAGAAAATATTCGTCCTCCGACAAGTTCGAACCTGCATCCTATACGGAACCGTCATTTTACGCTGACGTGCCTTGACCGCTCGGCCACAAAGGATCGTTCGGTTGGCAAGGTTGAATATATTTTCTATGAAAATTTTGACGATTCCGGCCAGTAAATAAAATACTGTTTTTTATAAACAAAGCATTTACTTAAATACTTGTATCTATAAAAAGAACGTTAAACATAATTGTCTTAATTAAATAAATTGTCGGACTTTGTCCATATATATTTACATATATATATATATATATATATATATATATATATATATATATATATATATATATATATATATATATATATATATATATATATATATATATCCTCACTCTACACCATTCTGACCATGGTTCAATTGGAACTCATTTAAATATTCATGGAGACCTACCGGACACTATAACCTACTTGTTGACAACACTAGTATAATAGCATCATCTACATGCAAAAAAAATAGCTAAAAATAATGGAAGCCTTATTAATAAAAATAAAAAACAGCAACACTTAATAATATTAACTATAACATAGACACAATATCTTGACCGTGTTTTGAAAAATGAAAACATTTTATAAAACATACATACAACAACCCATTTCTTATTTCCCAGTTAAAATATTTCATCCTTGAAAATAGCTAAATGTATAGCCGAAAGCGCTCGGATAAAAAAGAAAAAAAATTCGGACAGTTCTTATATAATTTATCATCCGTATAGCAAAACAATTATTAGATCACATGAGGAATTGTATAAAAAAAACTAAATAAAAGCACCTTGTCTCTTGTATACAATGCAATGTGAATGAAAGGATTGCTGCCCGAATACATAAATAATATATATATATATATATATATATATATATATATATATATAATTTTCTATTTTAAATATATGGTTCCATCCTTACATAGGAAAGAGCAAATAAAATTTTAAATTTAATTATAAAACTCAATTTAAAATTCATACCACCGTGTCATTCTCAAGCGATTTTTGGAATAACTTATTAAGAAATTTACTTTACTGATAACACAGACAATGTTAATGTTTTAAATTGTTAGATTTACGGAAAAGTCAATAATTTTGATAAGGAGTGTTTGGGTTTTAATTTCTCTAGAAAACTTATCAAATCCAAGCGCTATTCAAGTCCAACCAGCTAGGAGCTTCACGGTTAGGATCAGTCATGCCACGTTAATGGTGACAAATCATTCCTATTTCTTTCGTGATCCTTTCATAAGGAGCAAATCCAACTTAGACAAAATTTTCCACAGAACCGTTTCTTTGCTGAATAGACTCCTGAGAGGTTGCTTCCCCGGCCACTATGACCGTAGCCTCTTCAAGTCCTGGATCAGCTGATATATATCCTACACGTCCTCATAATACGCACTACTTACTACCTCATACCACTTCACAATTTTTAATGATTTTGCCACATACAAGGCAGTAAAGACACTAAGACAATCGAATACTGAGTGTGAATGAATAAAAATGAATACAAACATTAATGAGCGAGAATAAGAGAAAATGAATCAGGAAAACAGTGGATAGTTCACTATTTACATGATTCGGACTATTGTCCTCATATTTCCATATTTATTACAACGTTTTGGCCGTTGTACGCTCCGGTCTTCTTCAGGTGTTTGGAATGTCGAACTGAACCATTTATTTCGCTCGCTAGGGTTGACTGTTCTAGTTCCAAGTACATGTCTAATGGATGTCATTTATGAGTTATCTTCTGTTAATCCCCCTCTTCAAGTTCTCCACAGCCTCAACCAGGTATTGAACTCACAACTTTTTGGGTCCTGTCACTGAGAGTTTGGAGTTCAATATATATGTATGTATGTATGTGTGTGTGTGTGTGTTTATGCGTCTGTTCATATATATATATATATATATATATATATATATATATATATATATATATATATATATATGTGTGTGTGTATATATATATATATATGTGTATATATTTATATATATATATATATATATATATATATTTATATATAGTTATATATATATATATATATATTTGTATATAGTTTATATATATATATATATATATATTTGTATATAGTTGTATATATATATATATATTTATTTATATAGTATATATATATATATATATATATATATATATATGAGTGTGTATGTGTGTTTATGCGTCTGTTTATATTTATATATATATATATATATGTGTGTGTGTGTGTGTGTGTGTATATATTTGTATATATATATATATATGTATGTGTGTGTGTGTGTGTGTGTGTGTGTGTGTGTGTGTTATGCGTTTCTATGTTTTTTTTGCTTGTTCGTTTGGGCGCGTGTATGTGTGCGTATTAGATATGTCTATAGATGCAATATTCGTATGTATGTATGTGTGTATGTTTGAAGACCTTTCTGTCCTTCTGTCTGTCTGTCTGTCTGTCTGTCTCTCTCTCTCTCTCTCTCTCTCATCTAAATTAGGATCTCGTGCCTAAGAATTGGCTTGATTATTGATAAAAACCGTGTTCACCAGTAGATTGATGTGGAAGGACCAGAAAGTATCTATTTTCCCTTAATAATACACCACTCCCGCAATTACACCTTCCAGCTCTCCGCCCCCACATCGTAGCCGCGTCCACCCGTCGCCAGTAAATTAGATAAAAATATTCGGATTTATGACACAGCGATTTTTTTGTCATCATCAGCATCATCATTATCGGTGTCATTATTATTACTACTAATATGTTTTATGATTATTATTATTGCGTGTTATCATTGTTATTATTATTAGTGGTATGAGCGGATAGCGTAGTGGTTATAGGTGTGGCGAGTGAAATCCACAAAACTAATTTCAAATGCGGCCACTCTCTTTTTCTAGAGAAAACCGGGCATATAATAATATAATTTACATAAGAATGAAACACCGGATCTCATATGATCACCGAAGTTAAGGGACATAGAATCAGGTCAGTACCTAGATGGGGGACCGCTTTGGAATACCAGATTATTTAAGCTTTGAAGTGCAGGAAGTGCAATTGATAATGGTTCATGATTATTAATCGGAGAGTCGAGTTCCAATTCCCGTTGATTTTGTTATATTTAATTAAGCGCGAACATTGTGAAATGTATGAATACACATGTTGCCCCTCAGTATGGGTTTATTAGTATGATTTATTTCACTAAGCCAATATTATCTCCAAAAAAATAGTCTTAAAACCTAAATTTTTTCTGGCTTTAAATAACCCACAAAGGGTTGATAAGCCGTAATAAACGATTCAATCAATCAATGAATATGGAGAAGCCGAAATCCATTTTTTTCTCAGTAGCTAACAAAGATGTCTTTCTAAATTTAGATGATGTTGTCTCAACAAAAAATGAAATTCTAATTTTCTACACGACGTTTAAATCCCTTCTTAGTATTTGTTTATTTATTTATTTTCTACTTGTTGTTACTTGCGAATTGTCATGTAATCTTTGGAACAATGGCTGGCTTAGATTCCCGCTGTATTCTCTATGATTTTTAATTCGTAGTTGTTTTTTTTTTTGTTTTTTTTAAACATGTTATAATTTAAGGCAAGAGTGCCACTGTACCCTACGATTTAACCCACAGTTTGTAGAAGATATGTATCAATACCTTTCTTAAGTATATAAGTGACCGAAAACAAGAACTGTCTCAGCGATTCCAATTTAGGCGCCATTGTAGATTACGCTACCCGCATACCCATAGGTAGGGACTAATTCACTGCTGGAATTTCTGTTTCTCCTTCAAGGTAGGTCTTTATCGTGCTAAGCTCTTATGGTCATGGGCTTTTATTACTGGTTGTATTGTTACAAGTTTTGCTATAGGTATTATTATTATCACTATTATTTTTTTTATTGTTATTGTTGACATCATTATTATTGCCCTGCCATGAACGCTCACTGAGACTAAAGCTCTCAACTGTATCTACTGCGTCTATTCCTCCCAAGGCAAACCGCTTGCGACCATGCTCTATCTTTGTTACATCTTTCATCTTTGTTACAGTTATTTTATCTTTATTGATATAATTGTTATTATTGTTATTGGTGCAATTATTATCATTGACATTTTTTTCGTTATTATTGTTAACATTTCTATTATTCAGAGTCTGCCTATATTTCTGAGATGAGATATTATGTACATTATTTACATTATTCGGACTATTGTCCTCATCTTTTTTCGCCATATCTGTCACAACGTTTCGGCCGTTGTACGCTCCGGTCTTCCTCAAGGACACACGGCACAGTGGATAAAGGCGTTGGTTAGATCCAGTGACAGGACCCAAAAGGTGTGAGTTCAATACCCGGTTAAGGCAGTGGAGGACTTTCAGAGGGAAATTAACAGCAGATAACTGATAACTGACATCCATCAAACATGGCACGTGGAACTAGAACAGTCTACCCCAGTGAGCGAAATAAAGGGTTCAGTTCGACATTCCAACCACCTGAAGAAGGCCGGAGTATACAACGGCCGAAACGTTGTAAGAAATATGGCGACAAAGATGAGGACAATAGTCCGAATAATATATATATACATATATATATATATATATATATATATGTGTGTGTGTGTGTGTGTGTGTGTGTGTGTGTGTGTGACGGGGGTATCTTATCTTGTGTATCTTATAGACCGTATGTACACACATGATTGCAGGTACAAGTCGAAATATTTGGATACCCATCTTTGTCACTGTCTTTTAATCTTTTCTGAGTTTTGTTGTTTTTTTATTTATATTTTGATGTTATTTTATTTTATATGCACACACACGCATACACACGCGCGAGCGCGCACACACACACACACACGAGGACTAAATGGAAAATGTTTACGTGTGACTTGTTTCGTCTTTTCGGTCTTCATGAGACTAAATATAGTCCGATGATATCCTAAAGGAGTAAATGAGTGGCTCGAAAACCTTTTCCACTGTGTCATATATTTTTCCACAACACTGCTCTTGATATACGAAAATTATATCTCGCCATATCATATACATATAGTCTTAAGGTGTGCTATATTTATGTGCTATCAGAGATAGAGCGTGTGTAATATAAAAGTGAACATTTCATGCTAGACGCAATCATCAGGCCCACCAGGCTAGATTGCGTCTAGCATGAAACAGCCTGTCACCTCTGAGTGTTGACTTCAATTTTCACCTATATATATATATATATATATATATATATATATATATATATATATATATATATATATATATATATATAAGTTATGAAGAACTTGGTAATCCGTATGGGTAATCCCAAGGAGGATGAAATCCTGAGAGCTCAATGTAAATCCAGAGCTAATATTTAAAAGAAAAAACAGACCAATTTAAGATACCATTATAATAATTTATTTCACCAGAGTCCTTTTAAAGGACGCCGGATCATCAAATAGCACTTCCAAAAATTTTTGGAAGTGCTATCTGAAGATCTGGCGTCCTTTAAAAGATTATTTTTCTAGCAACAGTTTTGAATAAAACTGCTGATGATAAAAGTATTGTTCTTGATTATAATTAAGAAAAAAGATGTGTTAATGGAAATTGGAATGTACTCAACAATTATGCTTTCATATCTGTCTATCTTATCAAATCAAAGCAAACGATGAAATCCTGAGAGCTCAATGTAAATCCAGTGCTAATATTTAAAAAAAAAAAAAAACAGGCCAATTTAAGATACCATTATAATAATTTATTTCACCAGAGCCATTTTAAAGGACGCCAGATCTTCAGATAGCACTTCCAAAAATTTTGGGAAGTGCTATCTGATTTTTTCTTTTATATATATATATATATATATATATATATATATATGCATGTATGTTTGTGTGTATGTGTATGTGTGTGTGTGTTTGATTATACAGACAGCATATCTTCATTCAAACTGGTTTTATTAAATAATATAGCCGTATTGTGTCTACTTATTTTTATACTGATTCTTTCCTGTTGTCCAGTTTCCAAGATCATTTTAGGAGTAAATTACAAAGCGAAACTTGTAACTGAAATAAAATATGCATTCTGTTGTCATACTGATTTCTATTTATATATATATATATATATATATATATATAGATAGATAGATAGATAGATAGATAGATGTATTTGAGCGCTTGTATGTATGTGTACTGATATATATCGTTGGTATAATTTTTATTGTTATTAATATTATTGTAATTGTTGGTCTGTAATGTTATCATTGTTGCCATTATTATTATTATTGCTAATGCTATCCTTATTTTTTTGTTGTTATTTTATTATTGTTATTAATTTTATTGCTGACGCTTTTACTGTTGTTGTTGTTGTTATTGTTGACATTTTATTTGTATTGTTTCTGTTGTTGTCGTTGGTGTTAGAGTGGTTCCTTTAATGCTTGGTTTTTATTGTTGTTGCTGATATTATTGCTATTTTAATTGTATTACCGTTTTTCTTGTAATTGCGTTTTTATTATTGTCATCTTTCGTGGTGTTTTATTTTTATTCATATATTCTCAAGAGGTGGCGTGTTTCTCTCGCCATAGATTGAAATATCGATCAAGCGAGTCACTTCCAATATCCGACATCAGTTTATGTTTCAAAACTGACTTCAGATTTTCTATGACATAAACAGTATTATCCTATGGGAATTGTGTTTGACCCTACGTTCGGGCAATCGTTATGTTCTGCCAATACCGCATAAATAAAGGACTATTCCGTTTTGATGGCATGGGAAAAGGGAAAATGACACTACTTGGTTTCAGTAAGAAAGAAAGAAAGTTCTGTAACCTAGAAAAGGTTACTGAATGAGGAATAACCCAAACGGAGGTTGGAAATGAAGCGGTAAACTTTATAGCATCTACAAAATACAATACTCGCCAGCGGCCTGATGTAGGTAAACCACTGCTAGTGTTGGACTACTTAGACAACATGTTACCCCACTTACAATAGTGTCCAACGTATTCATGTGGAATGGGACATACTCATTAGTATTCATAGGTACGGTATATGACAGAAAGAAAGAAAGAAAGAAAGAAAGAAAGAAAGAAAGAAAGAAGTGTTAATATCTGCCAATATCTCATATCTATTCCGTTTTGACCGGGTGGAAAGAAGGTGAAAGAATCTAATTGGTTTCAGTGAGAAAATAGATGTAAGAAAGCAACAAAGTGAGACAGAAGAATAATGGCCTTTTATTAAAAAAAAAAAAAGAAATGGTAAAAGTTGCCAATTTCATTTGTACCCGCTTCTTAAAATAACGACCAGCATTCATATTTATAATTGTTATTACAATATTTTGCGAAAGTTGTTCAGCTCCAATACTTAACGATGCAATAGTGGAATTTCTACGGATATTTTATTGCCATAGAAATCACTGTGATCATATTAAATCATTAACTGAAGAATTAATATTCATTAGAAAATTCAAATAGGAAAACCGTGACATTTTCATCGGCCTTTCTAGTTAATTTTTTATTATTATTATTATTATTATTATTATTATTATTATTATTATTTTTATTTTTATTATTATTGCTGCCGTTGTTGCTGTTATCATTTCATTCTTCAAATCAGATATATCCGGGGGTTGTCATTAGAGTCATCTCATATGTCCAACCCCTTTTTGATTTATTCTAGCAGAACCAAACATTACTGATGTCTAGACTGCCGCAATTCTTTCTCGGTTTTATATTATATACAATCTCGATTCTAGTGATTTTGGCAATGTTCCCAGTGACCGACATATCAATGGAACCACTTTAACTTGACTGTCTAACTGCTTTTTTTTTTTTTTTTTTTTTTACCTGTGTTTGTAGTCTTTCTATATTGTTTTTGTCCCCATCTTATGTACGCAGGCACAGTGATTTTTTTATTTCCTTGTCCTCAACTCCCACTTCTTTGTGTTTTTTTTTTTTTTTTTTTTTTTTGCTTTTCGCTTCAGTGATGTACTTTGTAAAGATATCAAAATAATCATGTAACACTTGTTTCTTCTTTTAATAGGGTAGGGGGCATTTTATCG